TTTTTATCGTGAACGGTGCCTTTAAATGAGGGTGGTCAATCCCGCTCATATAGATCGCCCCAGATTGTTTAGAATGAATGTTATGCGTTACTCTCTGAATACATCACTAAGAAAATATGATGCCAAGTGGCTCAGACTTCAGAATCATCTCTATATTTCCCTCACGGGATAGGCAGATAGGTCAGCGACAATAGCCTCACTGAAATCAGCCCCTTTCACTGGCTCAGATCAGCTATTTTTACTTGTAATGAAAACAGGTGCATTTGATTAGGTGTCGGCTTAAAGGTCACCCTTGGTGTTATTCCACACAGATGAAGGATAAGGAACAGGACCATCTCTCAAAGTAGAATCTGAACAAATAGCTTTAATATGCGAAAAAATCGAAATGGAGTCAGTAAGGGGTAACGCACTGAATTATAAGATAGGGGAGGACTCCTACTGGCAACTGTTACTCAATACTTACTATACTACTATACTATAAGCCACTGATGGGGAGGGTTAGACATAGGTGTGGCCATTCAGTTGTTCCAGCGACTTAGCTCATTCTCCACCTATCACAACTCTTCTATGTATTTTTGCTAAAGTCATTTCATCCACAGCCCTCATCCCAAGGGTTGGGTTCGTCCCCGCCACCTACTATCATGTCCCACCTGCCGCCTGCATCCTTTCAAATAAAAATACACTCAGTCCAGAAGTTGTGAATTCCCGTTCGAACACTCCGTTCATGGAGCGCACCGGGACGAAAACTCACTGCCTACTATCAATGTTCTTCGCCTACCGACTGTAACCCTGCTAACCCTTTTTTCGGGATAACTGAATAGTTTAAACGAAGTTATGAATTCTTGGTCTTAGCCCCGCCCACCTAAACGCATGCTCCGCCCACTGTGAAAGTCGGATTAACCTCCCTTCAGTAGCAATTGTCTGCTTTTCCACATACGGAACTGTTTTGAGCAGAGTTAGGAATCTTTGTAAAAAGACCTCCCATTTGGGACACGCCTCTTAAAATGGCAACTTTAGGTATGCTTGTGCATGCCTAGCCCACCATAGCCTTGTTCATTCCATCAAATTCTTCTCTGTCCTTCATACTTTGTTGGAGCCAAGTTTTGTATAGAAAGCACCGGCCTTTTTGAGGACGCCTCCCCACAGAAGATGAGTATCCTTCGTCTGGTTTGCTGACCCCTCCCCTCGTTCGCCCTCGCTACAGATCATTCCAGCGCTTTGCCACGCCCCATGGGTGGAGTTTGGCTGCGCTCTGCTGGACTTTGTCTATACACATTCCAAATTTACTTGCGGCAAACTTATCCGACCTTTGAAAACCTGAACATGAGTGCTTTATATAGTCAATTAAAAGAAAGACGATGGATCACGACTTCTGACAATTGTGTTACTATCAGTCGACAGTAGTTTATACCATTCAAGACTTCCTAATGAGGCAGCTCATCTACAGAAAAGTCGTTGTGCCATGAACTTAATGAAGGAATGTATTTATGAATTCCTTAATGAAAAATTATTGTTAGGATCATCACCACCTAGTGAGTACGAGCTGCACTCCTCCCACTTTAAGGGGCCGTGACAGAGCTGTTGTGCCTGCATGATTTTGTAGAGTCCCCTTCGGAAGTTGTCTGATCCAAATCGCACCATTTTTGTTCTGAAAAGAGTAGTGGTGAGCTAGCCAGAAATCTAGACTTCATCACAGCATGGAAGAGGGTCCGACTAGAGCAGCGAAGACATTTAGTCCGCGGCAGTCGCCTAGTTTTAGTCTTCCAAGCTGCAGTGATGATACATAGCCCCTTTGAAGATTACGCGCTCCAGTGACGCCGTCCCAGTGCGCGAAAAGTAAGTTTTCAAATTTTGGTACGAACCAAAACAATTACATGAAATTCATAAAAGTCTGAATTTTTGAAGCTTCCATATGATTGTCTTCTTGATGTCCGTATCCTTTTTACAGTAATCATGTCCAATTATCTGGAACTTTTGAGTGCTGTGGATTAGCTTGTTTACTCGTGTATGATTGATTTTTGGTCAGCCATAGGATTTCGACTTGAAGTATTGTTCAACTCTTTATTTTACAGATAATTATGGAGCATTATATGCCGGAAATCTTCTGGCATGATAGAAAAGCAATACTATCCGTAGACAGTCACCCAGTGGTCAAAGATGGAGCTTATAGGATTGTAACAGCCAGCGTCCAACGAGAGGTTTGTCTTGCTGATCTTACTGCTTTTGCTTATTCTTCCAAAGATCTTCAGTTGCAACAACAACAACAACAGCAGAAATAACACCAAATTCTGCCCGAAGCTTCTGTCGAAAAATATCTCTGAACAACTATTGCTGAAATCACCACCACTCAGAGCGAAATTTTTAGAAACCGAGCGTTTTTGAGACTATAACCTGCCGTGTCAGACTCCGAATGGAGAGTTCGCTGATCATTTTTGTCTTTTTTTTACTCTGGCTCTGAAAAGCGGTCATGAAAGTAAATCGTTCTATTCCTAAGCTGCATGTAGGAATGCATATTTCGTGCATACCGTAGTTAATCCATTCAGATTAGAAGTCAAATGCGTGGGTACGTCCTTCAGACGGGTTTGATTAACGCCCCAACTCTTTATTCTTCATTGCTGTAAACAAATATCCATAATTTGTTGTTACTCCTTTTTATTTTTTATAGCTCACTGACATTATTGTTTGCAGGTTCGCATTTGGCGATTTGAATATGAACAATGCACGAAAGTTCCTTCAAAATATCAGTTAGCGGTCACATTTCTAGCGAACCTTGTTGGGCACAATGTCGCCATAAATGAAGTGAAATTCAGTCCAAATTCAGAATGTGAGTTCGATTTATATTTTATATTTATCTTTTCTGTGATATCGCTCGGCATATGGTTACATTCATCTATTTCACGTGAAAAAATTGTGTTAATTTCTGCTCCATTTGAACGGCCTTTTTCCATTTTAAAAAATTTTCACCGATATTCGCCTAAAAAATGGTAAATTTTCGTTCGAAAAGCCCTCTTGCTCTCTGCTTTCGAAACTTAGGAAAAACATGGGAGTTGTCTAATGTATATGCGATGATTTAATACTGTAATATTTTTCGTTTTGACAGTTTCGAAATATTGTGGGGAAAGTGAAGAGAGCTTTTTAAGGCGAACATGAAAATCACGGAGGGGTTAATGGAATGAATGGTTTCTACTCTGGTTGAAGTGGAAAANGGGGGGGGGCGGGCTCCCAAATTGTACAAGGTGGAATAGCTATTGATCTTCCGAGACAAGTATGTTTTCTGAATTCTAGTGAATTTGCTCGCATCTGGAGATTCGGATGGCCGTATAGCCATATGGCAACTATCCGATGCACCAAATACTGCACCTGCTATTGATGATTTACCACCAAACAAGGAAAATTGGGTTCGATTGCGAGTGAGTTTAGATATGCGGTATTTCAGAGTCTTAGGCGCTGTAATAAGGCAATTGTGGAAAGAATTTCCTGCATTGGCTGCTTTCAGACTTCAACGATTCAACCGACGTCCGTCCGTCGCGTGCGTCCGTGCAATGGCGGCGCTAGCCATTTTTATCAACGCTGGATCACGTGCCGGTGTTGTCAACAAGTGGCTAGGGCCGCCCTCGCATGCATGCACGCTCGAGATGAACGGGCAGACGGACGTCGGTTGAATCGTTAAAATCTAAAAGCGGTCATTGAGGATGATAGAGCAATATGTCCTCTTAGCCAGCACTTTTGAAGTGTAGATCACATTTTTACAAGTTTTCAGATTTTAAATCACGATAGTGAAGTCACGAGCGTTGCATGGAGCCCTGATGGTAGACTGCTTGCTTCCGTTTCTAATGACGAGTCGCTTTTGGTACACGATGTTACATCCGGTACACACTATACCATAAATATTTCCATTTGATTTTGGGTTTCTCTCCACAACTCTCAGATTTTAGGCAAGCGATGTGTGACGGTTCGAAACCTAAGACACTTTCCTAATGGTGTAACATGGGATCCTAAAGGAAAATATATTGTAACAATGTCAACTGATCGCAAAATGGATGTGATAGATGCAGCTAAAGGCACACGGTTACGAATGTTCGGGGTATCTGCTTTACCCGAGGTCACAATCGGAGATGTATCTTTAGAACATAAGGTTTGCTCTTGATGTTGACTAATTTTTCATTGTTGTTGCACATCTCTTGTTTTTCCCCTTCATCGAGAAGAGCATCGAAGTGGAAAGTGGAAACTTTTATGACCCCCTTCAAAAAGAAATCAAGATGTGCAAGCTATACCATCCTAGTCCTTCTGTTCCGATCCTCATAGCGGAATTCTAATGTCTGCTTAGCCATGGCAACGTTTGTTCTCAAAAACTGGTGATCGTGCCTTTACCATCTCACCAATTTATTTCACTATTCATCTATCATCTCACTATTCACGCGGTGCTGTTCCAACCCGGAAGTCTTAAATTTCCCTTACTTTCTTATTTCCTTTCCTAATTTTTTACTTGAAAAGTAGCTCATACAAGTAAGGGACCATAAAAAAAAATCTACGAGAAAATTAATAATTGCTTTACCGATTATTCATACTTTGAAGGAGCAGTACTTGGGCTGCCAATTTCTTTCTAAAATGCAAGGTGATGTGTAAAATGACCGTCTATGCCGAAAGATGGGCAAGATCGATAAAGTTGTTTTTGGTTTTTTTTGGAGAAAGTTTGAGCAAAAATTGTCGTGCATAAGTGAATTACAACTAATATTCAGGTGTACAAGCTTTTCCATGACGATCAGCTTATGAGTTTTCAACGAGGAGTGGCTTTCTCGCCCTGTGGACAGCTCATAATTGCTCCATGTAGGTTTTAGTAAAAAAAGAAGGCTTATCAAAGTAATCTCGAAATAATTTCAGGTGCAAATTTAGAAATTCACACACGTGAAGTTTTTGGAACGTATATTTTCAAAAGGAGCGAACTAGACAGGTGTCTTTCTTGTGTTGATGCCAAACTGTGACCAAATTATAGCAGTTGTTCACATTTCAGCGACAAACCGTTTGCCTTTTTACCATGTCCGAAAGCTACGTTTCTAATAAGGTGTTGTCCATTATTAATGACCCTTAAGAAGGATCAAGAGAACTATTCTGGGTAAGAATTTTCCCCATTTTACTTCTGCATAACTGTCAGTCTCCTTCTTCAGGCTTCCCTACCGAATTTTGTGGTTGGCCCTCACCAAGGACACCGTATATTTTTACGACAGCCAGCATCCCTACCCAATTGGTCTCGTAGAGAATATACAGTACAATAGTTTGACGGATGCCGCATGGAGCGCTGATGGAAAGAACATAATCATTTCGTCGTTGGAAGGATATTGCACATTCCTAAAGCTTACAGTCGAACAATGGGGATGCAAGGTTTTTTTGGTTTTACTGCTGTTTGTTACATTTCTTTTCCCCAATTCAGATAGGTATCTTTTTGCATTTCAGATTGAACAGGAGCAAGCTGAAGAATGTCCACCTTCCCCACAACTTATACAATCGAAAAAGAGGAAACCTAGGGAGAAGAAAAACAAAGGTAGTGCACCCTTCGACTATTCCCCGTTTTAACAACGACTAACTCGGAGCTGGCTACTGGAAAAAATATCTGGAGTACATGACTTCCTTTCTCTTTGAAAAATTTAATTCAATATTTCTTCAGCACGGCATTTCTCAAACTATCCGGTACTTCTTTGAAGAAGCAGTGGATTTTTTGAGGGCTGCCAGTGTTTAAATTCAACACACGATAGCTGATCGCATACGGTTGTCTCTCATTTTAAGTCCTTTTACCACTGCATAGCATTCACTCCAATTCTTGGAGCTAACCTGTAATCAAGTTTAATCGTCTTATATCAAATTCTTTTCCCTTCAAACTACTGTTGGGAACATATTATGAGACTCTTGCTCAGTATCCGCCTATCTTGAACTCCCCCATAGAAAACTCGTCCCCCTTCTCTCGGTACGGCTATTAATTAGTTCCTTTCTTTCTTTCCTGTTTTTTCTTTTTCCAAGCTGTCCTGCCCTTCAATGGAGTGAGGAGTCTCCACACTTCAGTTTTCGTAAAAACTTCCACACCATCCATTTTTACCTTCATTTCACTTGCCTTATACGGACGAGATATGAATTTTTGTACAAAGCTCCTGCCATTTGAAGTACGGTCCGCTTACTGCAGGTGTTTGCTTTTACCTACTTTCTAAACAGAGTTACGGAGTTATGAAGTTTGGACATGATCTTCGCCCTCGAGGCATTTGAACTGTAGGCTTTAATCGAAATGAATTACGATTTTAGGATTTATGAAAAAGGTATAGCATGAAGACGCTCCGATCACCGCTAGCATGTTTTCCTGTTTCATCTTTGACCTCATGTCTGTTAACCTTTATTTTTCGGTCTTTCGACTTTTACAGAATTAGTCTATGAAGCAGTTAACACCATCAGTCCAAAAGTATCTCGCGAATGCCTTCACATTCGAGGTGACTCAGATAATCAGAGTATATTCAGAGAGTAAGCAAGAAGAGAACTGCACGACCCCTACACCAGCAACAAAAACGACGCCTCTACGAACANACACCTAGATCTGGAAGCCTCTTCCGTTATCTCCAGACAAAGGGTGAAGAATCGCCTCGATCAGCTGCTGAACCGGGGAGCCCCACCACGCCTACAAGGTAACGGTTTTGTTTTCTAGTTTTCTGTTTTCTAGTTGTATCCCCGGGCTAGAAGAAGGGGACTTTCACAGAAAAAAAAACCAAGTCTGGTTCTTTTCTGTGAAAGTCCCCTTCTACTAGCACGAGTTTACATGGAAGATAATTCGCTAATAATTTCAGACCAAACAGTGACGATCCCGTGAACCCTCCCAAGGTGAAGAAACGGATTCAACTTATAACATTAACAGAATAGTCAAAACGCTTGTACAATGTGCTGATATTTCCTGATATTTTTATCGTGCTCGATCTCACAAAGATAAAAATTTACAAAGGAAATGAAATTTTCGTGGATTTCGGCGGTTTTGTCACGTATCCCAGAAAGGGCTGCTCTCTTAGCACACGCCGCATGAGCATCAGTCGTCCTCCTCGTGTTTTCTTCCTGGCTTCTATTGTGTCCACATTAAGTTTTTCTCTCAGCTTGAATGGGAAGAAACAAGGGCGGAAGCTGTTGCGATGCCAGGGACAGTTCCATCGTACACTTAACCTCTGAGGTAATGTTGTGCGCAGTAATTGAGTGATCATATTGCCTGAAATCCTCGCATTAATACGAACCGACATACGAGCTTTTAAAAAAGAGCAGATAGCAAATATCATTATTACTACTATGTCGTGACGATTGTTGCACAAGAACCTTCGGTCTTCAGAAAAACTCAAAAACCAGAAAAATTAAAACAATTGAAGGGAATCAGCAGAAGAAATTAGAAGTTCAAGCAAGAAGATATGCCGAGGCTCTTTCAGAGAGCGCCTTACTGTACTATCACAACAAATTTAGTGAGAATATTGGAAGTAATGGGTCATAATGAGTCCAGTGGTAAACTGTAAACAGAAGCACTGTTTTAGCATACTGTCCAAGCAATTGAAAGCATGATATTTGCTCGTAATGGCAAAAACCCAAGTATATTGCAAAACGTAAGTATAAGCAGATATCACCGTGAAGAATATGTGAAAACCACTCAAAAGTAGCAATAATCGAGAAAAGGTTGATTTGCAATTCTGATTGTGGGATAGGCATCGTGAACCGACGTTCTGTATATTATGTAGGGTCCCGAACAGCGATTGAGAGAGACGTAAATTGGAGCGAAGCACGATCACAAGTTCTGTCCGATTCCTTTAGTGTTGGGAACAATGTTATAAGAGCGAGACTGGAGACTTGAACAAAGCAGTCTTTCATTTGCCTGAATTCATGTTGATCCACCTCCGATTGCTCGGAAGCACCAAACAACCTGATGCTGATGCATTAATGTATGGGATTCGTCTAAATGAACCTTGTGATCCCTAACGCGTACAAAACACCATCTACCTTCAAATACACCTCATTCGTTGTCAAAGTTTTATATCCTCAGTGGTTCATAAAATGGCTAATGGACGCTGAGAGATAGTTAAGGCACAATACCACTTTCCACTCCGATTATCACGCTTTTACCAATAAATTTACAAGCACAATTAACTAGCAGAACAGCATTCTTCCCATCTACTCTTTATAACGTTAGGAGATGACACTTCCCCGCTTCCAGAATGAAAGTATGGGCTCCAGTCTAAACACCATACTGCCGGGACACACTCTGAAAACTTAGAAGCCCATACGACTATAATTAACGACCTCATGCCGGAAAAGAGTTCTGAAGGAATTGGAAACAAATGTGTTTCGTTCCAACATTTACACAAGTCCCCTATGCAATTCCTCACCAATTCTTGGACAAAAAAATGTTTCCTTTCTCATACTAGCTAATATTCTTACGACGAAGACTTGTCTCGCAATCAATATAAAAAAGTGCACTGCCGAAAACTCCCCTTTTCCGCCACTTGGCGTTACACATTGGTCCTGCTATGTAGCAGTTCTACTGTTGCTTTCGCTGCTCCGACGCCGGCGTCAACGCCAGTAGCATAAACGTAACAACTCACATTCGATTGATTACGAATTGTCAAATGAGGCAACGTTGACGACCTATTGCCGAATTAAGCCGAACTACTGCTATTGCTGTGTAGCGGTAGCGCTATACAGAAATAAAGGAAAATTCGGATCAGCAGCAAAATCTGAGCAGGAGTCTCACAAAGCATTCATCCAAAACAGTCAATATGTAACCTGTGGTACTGGTCCGTGGCCAGCTCGTCTAAAACGCTCTGCGATGAAGCAGAACTTCACCTTACAGCAAATGACTGTAGGCGGCAAATTGTCATGGGACAGTCGGAAACAAAGGACATTGAGCAGGTGAGTAGAGTGCTAATAGACTGGAAAGCTTTTCAAAAAGACATGAATCTGCAAGAAGCTGTTTACGGATTCTTGCCATCCGTACTGGGTCAAGTACAGCCCGGTTATGAAAATGACAGGGATTCCTATTAAGCAGCAGTTATTGGCAAATAGTGGACCAAATGAGAGAACCTAATGGGTAGGAAAACTTTCAAGTCGAAAATCAAAGTGAAAGTGAAGCAAAAGTTAAGTGATTACCCAGTAATTTAAAGGACATGTGTGCGCTTACGGATTGAGGTCCTGCTGTGATGCTAACATTTATCGTAGCCAAGCTTACTTTCATGAACATATTTGAAACGTAACCTAAATTCATGTATTTTTATCCTTTTTGCAAGTTTACAGGTGACATCATCACATCTTGTCATGCTGTTGAAGTGTGCCTGATAATATTGTGATTATCTGTCATCGCTAGTTGTCGAGGCTCGTGGGTAGTTTTCTTCAAGTTCCCAATTTTGTGCTTGCAGTGGTCGGGTAAATGACGAAGCGTCGTCCATCAAACAAAAAGCCAACTGGAGTCAACAAATCTCTTGGGAACTCGCTTATGAATGAGCGCGTCAAAGTTCGACAAGCTCATCAGCGCTCGAAATATGATGCAGAAGAGATAGAAAATCCGGCATTTATGGATGTTGTATGTACAGTACTTCCAATATTGGTCCTATTCTTTGTCTAGCTTCAATCTTTTGCAGGAAACCATCAAAAACATCGATTCCATAACTGAGGAAACAAGTCTAGAAGAATTTCTAGCCAAAGCCAACTTGGCTGGGACCGAATTTACAGCTGAGCGACAACAGTTTCGTGTAATCGAGAAGTTAGTGAGTATTTGGTTTTTAACATATGTTTTATTTTAATTTAGTTGAACTGTAGAAACGGGTTGTCTTCAAATTTTGGTCATATATGCTAATACCTTCTGATACATTCTAATACATTCTAATTACTGTCCTGTTCATTTTGTAGGGAAACTGCAGTGGTGGTCCCCTCGCGTGTTGACTACGAAAACAATCTAGAGCTTCAACGACAACTCGAGCATAGGCTAAAGATCCCTCGAAGACCGTCTCGAGCTCTGTACAACACTGCTGATGAATTAACACAATTAGAAAATGAAAGCTTTTTGAAATGGAGATCGGATTTGGCCGAGTTGCAAGAGGTTTGTGTAGCACGGAGGGATCCGCACCTTTATAAGTTGCTTTTGAGGCCGCATGAGCTAGATTTTTTTTATTCTAGAAGGATGGTTTAACGCTTACTCCATTCGAAAGAAATCCTGAAATGTGGAGAGAGCTATGGAGAGTTGTGGAACGAAGTGATGTTGTTGTACAGGTATGGCAGTTTTCTTCCCCGTTGCCTTCTTGTTTTGAAATAAGTGGAAATTTCAAATTTCATTCATTTTCTCAAGTATCAAAGGCTTCCATTCCCTTTTCGGTTTTTGCTAGTCTCGTTCTGGTCTAGTAAGTCGAGCAAGTTTGTTTGTGCTTACATGATTAAACTTCTTGCGCTCTTTTCTTTTCATATCATTATGAGCACTCCGAAATTTTGCACCAATTATTGAGGTTGGCTGGCTGAGTAGTACAGAATTTACGCCTTTTTGTTAAGGAAAGCCTAAAGATCTACTCATTGTTGAAAAGAGCTATGCTTTATATTTTAGCTTTGGTATTTGTCTTCCATTACAGGGGTAGTTCACACAATAGGAAGCGTGTAATGGCCAGGTAACGTTTCTTATCAGGTTATTGTCTGGTGTTCGATATTACAACTTTCCGCTTTGCAGATGTTCTGAAGTACTCTATCATTATAAATTTGTGAGCGTCCAATAAGCGGGGCCATCTCCTTTTCTTGTTTCTTTTCCTCAGTGTTCACATTTGCATTAATTCTAGCAATTACTCGATAACTTCATATGCGTCAGATCTGATTATCGTTTTACGGCGAAGGTTTTTTCAGTGGTCTTGTACTAAATGGCCCACCGCAAAAGAATGGAAAGCCTTGTTTGTAGGATAGAGGCTTAATAGAGGGCATGAACTCTTATGCCACGTGTGTGGGAGCGGTGAAACTTGTAGCAACATTTTCTCTTCCTGCTCATATAGTCCATGTGATATCATACAATTTCTTCATTAAAATTTCATAATGGAACAAAATGTTTGCGGACCACCTCCTCATGGAGTTTTCTGACTAGCGTGTAAACTCACTCACTATGCACTTCTGAAGCGTGCTAAGTGGTATCCTTTCGGTACTGATACTTGTAGTTGCAGGTTTTGATTGGACATTAAATGCCCAACAAACAAAACATCATAGGGTTAATCATATGCGATCGGTTGAAGTGCAATGTTACCTAACTCTTCACTATTACGTGTAACCGTATTGTGTAATAATAAAAAGTACCGACTGACAGAAAGTAAAAACCCCTCTAAGAACTCGGCTCTCAGAGTATGATGTTTGTGTGAAACGGATAAGCAGGAGTTAACGGTATTGTTCTATGGGTTGGGTTGACTGTGTTTACTTTGTGCCATGAACATTCCCACATTAATGTTCCGACCCCGCTGAATCAGTTTCTGCATTGTCCAGCTCACTAAAATGCGTGGCATACGAATTCGCTCAATTCACCTTTTCTGACACATGCGTTTGATTCTAGATTAGTAAACTGTCACACGTTTCTTCAGATTGTTGACGCTCGGAATCCGCTTTTGTTCTGGAGCAAAGATCTAGATGCCTACGTGAAGGAAGTTGATCCTGCAAAGAAAGTGCTTCTCTTACTTAACAAGGCGGATCTTTTGGAGGAAGAACAAATAGCTGGATGGGCAAAGTACTTTGCGGAAAATCAAATTAATGCTGCATTTTGGTAGGCTTTGTGATTCTTTGCTTTTTTGTTTTTCCTCAGTTACTTATGTGATTTGTTCAGGACTGCTTTGGAAGTATCCGATCCCGAGGAGGAATGCAACTCGGAGCCATCTACG